TTTTGGGATAGACCAAGAAATTACTAGAAAATTCCACACCTGTAATTTGTAACCAATCAAAACGTGTATTTTTGATAGATCACCATGGCAACGGTTGAATTTTAGTGGAAATTTTTTCCTCGTGGGTACCCAACAGCGAATTATACTGGAAATTTTTTTGACGTTTATAATGACAGAATATTTTTTTGACAATCTGGTTTTTATTTGTTTACATGATAATTTTGATACATTTCCATTACAAAGTTTAGATGTTTTCTATATTTGTTGGACACCTCCTTTCTTCTTAATGGCGAAAATGCAGGACTAACTAACTATGTCTAATGAAATATATATAATATTTAGACACTATTCTATTCACCTTTTTTTCCATTTAGCACTTTGAGTTTTGAATAGTTAAGATGCAAATATTCGTGAACAATTCAAAACAAATTTTCTTTCTTCAAGTAGGAGCCACAATCCTCTAATAATGCGGGTAAATAAGTCATTGCACGATGATTGATCATTACAGCAGACAATTTCACATTTTTTTACGTCGTGCCGCTTGACAGCTTCAAAACTGAAATAACTTTTAGGTTGGGGTTGACTTAGTTGCCATGGTAACTAAATAATCAAGTCGAGGTCAAGTTAAATCAAAAAATATTTTTTTTTTCAAGCGGCCATGATATACAACCTTATATGCCTGTATAGAGATAGTTGAAGTGCGTCTTTTTCATTAGCGGCAGACAAAAAACTCAAAAAAGCCTAGGGATAGAAGTAAATCCATAGGTGTCTCAATAGACGTCAAATAATAAAATTAATTTAGAATTTCATACAAAGCAATCACGTTGTATTAATTATATTAATTATAATCGCAAGGAATATTTAGTGATTATTTATTAAATTTTAATTGAAAGAAATAAAGAACAACTAGTTTATTAGTATAATATTATGATGATAGACGAGTTGCCAATGTCGGAACTCCAAACAAATGTCAGTACGTCAAAATTAATTCAGGCGCAGCATTTTGACAGAGCAGGGTTTATTTTTAGTTTTGGCTTTGTTATCTATGGTTTAGGATATTTATCGGCATTGTAAGTAAGGGTTATAAGTTTTTTTAGTTTTTATCAATAATTTCTAATGCTTTTAGCCAAAATTTTATACCACATGAGTTAAGAGTAAATAAAATAATTCCATTGTTTATCCTATTTATATTACGCCCTTGAAAAAAAAATTGTATATGTTATTTGGAGTAGAAGCTCTTTTTGTGCTTCGTACAGTTGCCTGCCTCAGCTACGCTTCGGCCGTCAATCTCTGTACTCACCACAAAAAGAGTCGCTTCTACTCCTTATGACATAATCTACTATTTTTTTTCAAGCGGCCATGATATACAACCTTATATGCATGTATAGAGATAGTTGAAGTGCGTCTTTTTCATTAGCGGCAGACAAAAAACTCAAAAAAGCCTAGGGATAGAAGTAAATCCATAGGTGACTCAATAGACGTCAAATAATAAAATTAATTTAGCATTTCATACTAAGCAATCACGATGTATTAATTATATTAATTATAATCGCACGGAATATTTAGTAATTATTTATTAAATTTTAATTGAACGAAATAAAGAACAACTAGTTTATTAGTATAATATTATGATGATAGACGAGTCGCCAATGTCGGAATTTCAAACAAATGTCAGTACGTCAAAATTAATTCAAGCGCAGCATTTTGACAGAGCTGTGTTTATTTTTAGTTTAGGATATTTATCGGCATTGTAAGTAAGGGTTATAAGTTTTTTTAGTTTTTATCAATAATTTCTAATGCTTTTAGCCAAAATTTTATCCCACATGATTTAATTGAAGAGCTGCAGTGCGTGTAATTGTACATTTAATGTAAATTTTGCTTATTATATTTATATTACGCCCTTGAAAAAAAAATAGTATATGTTATTTGGAGTAGAAGCTCTTTTTGTGCTTCGTACAGTTGCCTGCCTCAGCTACGCTTCGGCCGTCAATCTCTGTACTCACCACAAAAAGAGTCACTTCTACTCTAATTTACTATTAATTATTTAAACACAATTTGGTGTGGAATTTTCTTACCGAATACCACACGAGGTCAAATTAAATCCGGAAATTTTTTCTCCCTCATGAATATTTTTAGAAAATTATCCCTCGTCTTCGACTCGGGATAATTTTCAAAATATTCATGAGCTCGAAAAAATTTCCGGAAATAATTTGACCTCTAGTGGTATTACCTACTAGTGAAAATTGCATTTTTATTTTTATTAAAAAAGTAATAATTCCGAAATGACGAATTGAGCCAACTCGGGACTTTTGGTGAAAGTTGTTCATATTATCAACTTCAAACGAAAAAAATATAAAGTAAAAAAATGTGACAAAGTCAAAATTTTGACCTCAATTTGTTTTTGCCATTTAAAAAAAAATGTAAAATTTAATATGTACCTACACGGAGAGAAAAATTTTGCCAAAATATCTATCCAAAGTATTGAAGTATGACGTATCGTGAATTTAGTAAACTGTTTTATTAAACTGAAGATCTGTATAGTTAATTTAGCCATACAAATCCTCAGTTTAATAAAACAGTTGACTAAATTCACGATACGTCATTTAACAATCCAGTTATCGCATTTTCAAGAAAAAATGTCATTCGTAAAAAGAGCAAAATTGATGTTCCTACGGGTGAACGAAACAAATTTACGCAAAAAAATACGGGTCTCATCGATTTCGGTAGAGAAACTCTAAAAAAAAATTGTTGCAAAATAACTACCTACCCCAAAGTGGTCCTGAACGAGGCATAGGTCACATAAAAATGAAATAAGGATGTCCTCTGAAGTTTTAAAATATGTTTTTCAAAATTGTAGCTGATTCTTTTTAGAAGTTTTAATCCAAATTTCAAACATCATTTGGTGATTCATTTTAGTTTTTTGCCATTATCTTTAAAACAGAGGCCTTTAGAAAAAATGTTTGAATAGGGAAATAAAGGTGACTTAATTATATATTAAATCATGCCTCCATAATTATGCTTGAACTATTGGCCTGCGAAATCCATGGACGTAGTCGTGAATTTTTTATGTTTAACAGGGTTTGTTACATTTTTTTGTAAATAGGTTACTTTCAACTTTGCAGCATAAATTTTCTTTAAAGAAATATAACCTATATAAAACAAAAAAGACAAGTAAGTACTTAATAATTGCCAAATATTATTTATTAATCAAAGTAATGTTATCAACATGAGAAAAAGCATTACATATTTTTTTATGAAAACTCTACAACTGCTCTTTTTAAAGACTCTTTGAAGTTAGGATGTGCCATGTTGTTTATCTTGTATTTATTTCAAAAAATGCGGTGGACATTCTTCCAAGTGATTAATTAGTACATGACTTTTAAAAGTTTTAGATATATCAGCATCTTTAAACATAACTACCAAATTCAGTGTTTTGGGCCATCTCAACGCATGTTCTTTTCCTAAAAGTTTCACTAGTCCGTTCCAAAATACGTAGGCAAAAGTGTTGCCTGGCAAAGGTGATGACTAACTAGATTTCTTTATTTACTCCTTGTTGGCAATTTAATGTAAGCAACTGATGATAGTATTATTGCGTGAGCGAATACCTCAACTGAACTTAGGTACTCAATTTATTTAATGGTTCTGCTTTTTTTAAATACACAGTTTTTTTAATAGATAAACCATTTTCTGTCGTTCTTTCCTTTTTTTTGTGAAATATGGTTTCGGCAAAAACATCAAGTTTTTAAAACATTTTGTAATTAAAAAAAATTATATCTACGCCAATGGTTGCGGTTGATGAAGCATCATTTAATAGATAATTTTGTCGTCTTTAATTTTGGCAAATTGGCAAAAATTCTTAAATTAGTCATTAAATTACAGTTGGTATTTGAATTAACTTTCAAAATTAAAAAAAAGGAACACCTACAATTTTGAAAAACATGTTTTAAAACTATAGAAAGGGTCCTTATTCCTATAGCGCATTCAGTTTTTGGCCTCATTTTTTTGTGACCTACCTATGACTCATTCAGGACCTGGTTGATTTGAGATGGAAAGACTCATTTGTATAAAATTTTTTGAAACTTTAATAATATTTGACTTTAATTATGAAAATTGAATATGTATAAAAAAATGTTGCAAACGTCAAAATTATATTTTTTTTTACAATTTAAATATAGGAGAATTTTCTTTTCTTCTTCTTCTAACTTCTTAAAGAGCAAAGAGCACCTGTTAAGGTGTTTTCCATTGTAAGTACATTTTTTATGTTTCTGCGAACATTTTAATGCTTTTACATTAGATCTGAATGATTTTCCTAAAAAGGATTGATGATAACCATATTTTAATTAGCATTTTAAACGAGCTTGGGAAAGTCTTCTTTCTACATTATTTTCCGTTACACTTTTCAAACTTTTTTATTGTTCGAAAGTTTCTCTATACGATTTCTTCTAAACTTTTAATAAATGAGGAGCATCCGTGCAAAATCGGCTAAATCCATTTTATTCAGTTTTTAGATTTCGCATCTTTGGGTTCATTTCTATCGACAACCAAGATAATTCTGTTTAAATCACATTTAAAAGGTAGCTTTAGGAGCAAAACCGGCCAAATCCACGTTTTTCTAGCAAATCCGGCTATATCCAATAAATAATAATATGTGGCTCGATACTACTACTAAAATTTGTTCTGTTTTTTCATGTTTGCACTTAATTTATTTTGTTAATATTTTTGAATAATAAAGGTTTTTTTCACATTTTATTCGTTTTTTATTCGGTTTTCGAGCAAAACCGGCTATATACAAAACATTTTTTGAAATTTTGGCCTTAATATAAAGTTTTTGAAAACGAAAGTATGTCTTATAAATCAAGTACCACAAAGCCCACAAAACTCAAGTTTGCTTTATCTTTTATCTGGTAAGGCCAGGAAACCAAGAGTTTTTGCCATTTTCCCAACATTTTATTAAAGTGAATATAGCCGGTTTTGCACGGATGCTCCTCAAATCATCTTACCTCAAACGTGAACTTGCTGTCGTGCATCTGCTTGGCCGTGAGCGGCGATTGTTGCTTGGCGGTGGCAGGAGTTTTGGGGGACACCGTAACAGGCGTCAGTATTTTGCCAGAACCTTCCAACGAAGAGTTCGGGTAGTCGAAGGGTTCGTTCGTGTCGAGGCTGTCCTCGGTGGCTTCTCCATCGGTAGCGGTCATCGTGGTGACGATTGTGTTCGAGCTGTCGGTGCTCGTGTTGATCGTCGTTTCTGATGCCGTGCTCGAAGATCCCATCACTATTACTTTGGGTACTGGTTGGTTCTGAAATGAAATAAGATTAATGCCGATTTTTAAAGAAGCTTCTTAGGGTATTAATTAGGGATGTTCATTTGTGAATGGATTTACAGCTTATTTGGCTTTTAAGAGATTTATAAATTAATATGCATAAGATATTTGTGAATTTTTAAAGCATGTCTAACTGGAGAACATGAGATTCTAAATAATCTTTTGGAGAGCCCATTAGGGTGATAAAAAAATCGAATATTTCTTTTATTTCTGAAACTAAAAAATTGGTTCTTAGGCACCTCCTGAAAGTTGTCACCAAATGTTAATAGGAAGATCCTCCTCATCTCAGTTTTCCATTCTTTCTTTATTTCCTTAATTATAAAAACACCATATTTTATTATTAAACCTCGTGTAATTAAATCTTTATATATATTTTTGTAGGAAATTGAATGCTCTACAAAAAAGGACTGATGTGTTTAAGAGATTACTCTAACAATTTAAAAGATATTCAAGATCAAAAAATTTATTAAAAAAATCTTTTTAATAATTTTTTAACTCATTGAAACATAATTATTGTTAAATGAGTATGACATGTTTTTGTAGGGAATTTAACTCTCTTCAAAAAAGGTAAAAAGTGTTTGATTCATTACTATAACCGTTGAAACGATATTCGTATACTAATCCCAATGCGTACTGATACAATATCTTCTCAACAGTAATCAATTAAACACACTTTTTTTGTAGTTATTTTTCCATTTTTTTAATAAATTCTTTAAACTTTGATCCTGAATATCTTTTGAATGGTTAGAGTAAACACTTCAGTCCTTTTTGGTAGAGCATTTAATTTCCAAATATGCATATTCAAATATTTATACATGTATAAATATTTGATTAAATGATTGATTAGTAATAAAATATGGTTTTTTATGAGGGACTAAAGAAAAAATTAAGAACTGTAATGATGAGGATCTTCCTATTAATATTAAAAGCTTTCATTTGGTGAGCCCCTTCTAGAGGTGCCTAAGAACCCATTTTTCAGTGTCGGAAGTAAAAATTCGATTTTTATAGCCCATAGAATGTAATAGAATTCCACGAATATCCAATTCTGTTAGGTTATATTTAAATATTTTTATCACACTTTTAGTACCGTAAACACGGGTGGCTTTAGCTCACTTTCAAACTTAATCTTAACATTTTTGTAGTTTTAACAATCATAAACATTAAATATTGTATACCAAAATTTGAGTCTTGAGTTGCTCTTTCATAATAACTATGTTATAATCTTACATAGGGCTGAGTTTCAAAAATAAAAATTAAAAACTGGGTGTGCAAAGTTACCCCCTGGTTGCGGGTTACTTTGTCTCACAGTGAATTTTCCGTATAAAATTAACTCAATATTTTATTTTATTTTTATTAGACATATGTTATCATCGACATATAGCAATTGACCATATGCAAGGAATGCGGTCGATGTTGCCAATGGTAAAAAAATAAATTTCCCAATTGGGTACATTCAATTATAATACGTTGGCTACACTGAAATTTTGAATTTCTCGCACAATCTGACATACATTCTAGTAGTTCCCAGAGATAAAGAAGGTAGTTCCAATGTTGTATAATAAATTAAGGTGCGAATTTCAAATGTGGGAATTATTATTATTTATTATTATTAAAAAAAAAAGATGGAAATTAATTTAGTTTGTGCGGGAATCTCAAATTTTCAATGTAGCCAACGTAATATAATTGAATGTTCCCAATAGGGAATTTTATTTTTTTACCATTGGCAACATCGACCGCATTCCTTGCATATGGTCAATTGCAAGGGATTACCGATAAAAACAATAAAAAATCGACCTGTAGTTAACCAAGGATCATCATTCCAAAGAATTGCGCATAATATAGAAATTAAAACGCGTGTATTTTTAAGAGTTTTGCACTGATGCAATATATACAATTTTAAAGTGTAATAAACCCCATTAATTTTTTTAAAACACTGATTTTCCTGTAATATAAACTCAATAGAATCGCTCAATTGACAGGTTTAGACCAACAAATTATAAATGTTAATTTTATCGAGCGCGAAAAGATTTTTCATAAAAGGGCTAAAGTCACCCGCGGGGTGCAAGGTCACCCGTGTTTACGGTATGTATTTTTTAAATTTGGTTGATTTTTTGAATTTTTAGAATTCCTTGTAGAATTGTAAAAATATTTTTTTTTCAAGAGTATAACAATTTTCATTTTATAACACTCATAAGCCTATAGGAAGATTTCATATTTGTACGCACAAAATTCAAATTATTATTATTATTATTATACACCGAATAGTGAATGATAAAAAATAATAATAAAAAACATTGAAATTTCATAATAGTGGTTCCATCTATCGCGTTTAGCCTAAAATCATCCGAGAAAATGTATACTTAAAGGTCACTGTAGAATAAATTCATGTACTATACTCCACACATCAAAGTCCCACCACGTGACTTTGATAGAAATAATTAAGGTTAATTTAAATAAATTAAAAATAATACAATATACATATGTACTCGTTGTGTTATAAATTAAGACCTTCATACACAAAAAAATACATATTGCATTATTATCAGAAAATAGGACTAAATTAGCTTGACCCTGACAAAAAATTAAATTAAATTTTCTCTATCAACGTCACGTGGTGGGACAAGTACATAACCTATAATATAACATATATGTCAAACGTCAAACTTGATAAAATGACGTAAACTTAATAATTTTTATGTAAAAACAATAATTAATACATGTTTGAAAAAAATTCTATATACAACCCGGCGGAGAAAGCATATTAACTACCTCGCTCAGATTTGCAGCCTCGGCAGCGAACACCGAACTGCCCAGGTAGCACAACGTGACGAAACCGTGACTATTTGTGTCCAATTGGACACAATGGACACAAATCGTCACGGTTTCACCACGTTGTGCTTTAAATAAGCGCTTTTTTCCGCCTGTTAGATAATGTACTATACCTACCACAGATACCTACCTTTATTGAAAAGTCGTGTATAATAGATATTTATGTCAGTATGATGAAAGGTAAGTATTTTTGAGTTGAGCTCAAAACGTACTTTTAACAGTAAATTATTAATTAAAAGTGTTAAATCATTATTTGTTTTCTTATAAAAAAACGTTTAAGCATAAAAAAATCTCCTAAAACCTAAAAATATAAATCAATTATTTTAAATCAAAACTAAAAATCAAACTTCTTAAAATAAATGAATTTAAAACGTTTGTTATTATTCTAATTGAAGGAATAGAACGATCCTGATATTTAACTGAGAATAGGTCTCTTGTTTGACGTAGAGAATTGCCCACTAAAGACCAGCTTATTATGTCAATTTTCTTTTGCAATGTGCAGGACATTATAGCTCATACTTTTAAATAAAAGAAATTAATTGATTTTCATTATAACATTTACTTTTGCAGTATTTTTAACCGTAACGGTATTCAGAGTTCTTTATCCACAGTAATTTATACCCTCCTTAATTGATTTTAAAACGCTTGAAATACACACTAGCAAATGCAAAATATGACTGAATCGTCGCCTAAGGCAATCCGCTTAGAAAGGGGAGGATCGATTGGGATCGCTCGGGTTCACTCAAATGTATATATTTCAAATGAAAATATATATTTCGTAACTTTAACCTTCTTCACTGTATCCCCTAATTTCAGTTTGAAAACCAGTGATGGCATCTTTTTTCGGATACTTCGCATACTCGTTAAATATAAGAAATTCGAATAACAATAATAACAGATATCTGGTAATATATTACAAACACTCTGGACAGTTGTTACGAAGACGTTACGAATTAGAATAAAGTAAGCAGAATCATAAGTTGCAGACGCTGAAGTCAGTTGAACTTGTTGATTCGGATTGTCATGACAATCCGATGACATGTCAGTGGAAAATGTATTGATTAGCTGCCTGAAATCACGTGTACTTTTTTAACACAATAATTTGTTAAACATTAACAAAATAATCTGTAACCTTTGAAATTAACAAAATGCTTACAAAATTGCATATTACCTTTACAAAACTTTCGCTAAAATATTTTCCTTTGTTAAAGTAAGAACAAATCCTGGTTTTCTACAAAAAATTATGTTAAAATTTTACAAACTAAAATTAACAAACTACAAACTCATGTTAACAAATCTGATTTTTATAACAGTGTAATCGTACAATTGGGACCGTTACTTCTTACTTCTGCTTTCTACTTCTACTTTTTAGAAACATAAATCCACCTTAAAGCTCGTACACTTGATTAAAAGTTTCTTCGCGGATTTTATCTCGCCGCCTGATAAGATAAGGGAGCCTAATAACCTCACAGCAGCATAAACATTTACACGGAACGTAGGGACAAAATTGTATCTAAACAGCGCCTTTTGTTCGCAGAAGGGCTTAGAAGCGATCCGCCAAACAAATCCGAAGCGTCATGAAGTGGAGGGAAACGCGTTGGCGGCGGTTTTAGTAGGGTGCGCCTATTGAAATCATTATACTTAATATACATACACATGGGATGACAAGGTGGCCGGGTATAGGAGCCAGATGAAAATAATACCTATTGTTATGGCAAGTCGGTGTGAAAAGGAAAACCTGTTTTTGGAGATTGTTCGAGAATGGTGGAAAACTTGCATTGCTGGAAAACTTACTTGAATAAATTTTATTCAACACCCGCAAGAAATATCGAGGCCCTATAAACCCTTTAGTATACTGTGGGTGGAAAAAATATTGAATTCCATAAATGAGGAGGTGCATTCCAAAACTAGGCTTATCCATATTAGTTGATTTTGAACAAAATGTCAAAAACCTTAAACGTGAGTACTAACGCATATCAGGCCAACACAATACTTTAAACGAAATATATAGGCATAAGTAAAACATTTTTATACATTGATTATAAAGGTATAGCTCCAATTTAAAATTACATACGTATATGCCGAGTTCTGCATAATATAACCAATAGATAAGGCAAGTTTTAAAACGATAGTCAATTTGTAAATGA